ACAAATAAGGGCACATCCAAAGGCCATAGGAGCCTACCTGAAGGATACCACAAATATGTGGTCGTGGTGGTACACACTTTTAATCCCAGCACTCCAAAGGCACAGGACAGCCTGGTCTCCATAGTCAAGTCAGGCCAGCCACGGCTACATGAAACCTGCCTCAAGAAACAAGCCACCTGCCTCAAGAAACAACAGCCACAAAACCCAAACAAACAAATCCTGTAACATACCCACTTCTCGAGCAAGAATAATACTGCTGAGACGTACGGGTTGGGTGGATTCAGAGACAAGAACAGCTCTTTGGGAACAAGAGGTACCATTTTCATATAAAGGCTCAATGGTAACTGCATCATGATGTGTGGAATGCCTGCCCAAAAAAAAAAAAAAATTAATGGTTAAGAACATGTAATACATGGGTCAAGGCAATACATGGAAGAAATGTCTGTAAGTCTCCTATGTTACATATTGCTAGGACACAAGACCTAAAATTGAGACTGAGCAGAACCTTCTCCCAGTGAGCTCTGTGCAAAGATCTAAAATGTTATTGTATTTCTCCCACAATGTTTAAAGTAAGATTCATGCCAGGTGGTGGTGGCCCATACTTTCAACCCCAGCATTGGAGAGGCAGAGGCAGGTGGATCTCTGAGTTTGGGACCAGACTGGTCTACAGAGCAAATTCCAGGACAGCCAGGGCTGCACAAAGTGCAGTAAATACACACAGTGTGGGATAACTGCACTGGGGCTGTTTGCAACAAGCTGTAAACCTAGAAGCTGAGCTGCTATCTAAGATGGAAAGTTGCCTACATTCTGAGACCAAACAAAAATATAGAACCACATGCCTGTAATCCCAGGCAGATCACTGTGAGTTCGAGGCCAGCCTGGTCTACAAAGCAAGTCCAGGACAGCAAAGGCTACACAGAGAAACCCTGTCTCGAAAAAAAAAAAAAATCATTATTAGCATCTTGGATGGATGGGAAGCTCTCAGAACGAATGATTCCCGAAGGATGAGCATCACCCGGGCTTATCCACAATAATAAGTTCCTTATACTTCATGAAACAAGAGTTGAAATTCTTGTACGCTGGGATAAAAACCTCACCGCTTCTTGTAGGAGACAGGAAAGGGGCGGGCAGTAGCGCCTAGCTGGAGGGCCTGCCGACCATGTGCAAAGCCCTTAGGATGAATGTTGGGTTATCTAAGGACGCCCTTTAGTGAACTCCCTTACGGGTCAGGTAACCACATGACCTGCTACTGAGTTCTCTTTAGTCAGGAAGAGCATCATCCCAGAGTTTACTTCCCAGGATCTTCCACTGAACCCCTGTACAGGGGGAGGGGCCCTCCAGTCACACACGTGATGGATCGTGACTTGTTACTCTGGTTTTGTCGTTGCTGTCAGGGTCTTCTAACGTGGCTCCATTTCGCTCCATCAAATTGGGGAAAATGAATGCTGGAAGAGTCTGACACGGGGCTTGCCTGTGCCAGCAACTGCTTACACTGACTGACTAGCTCTCTCCTACTTACAGAGCCTCACAACTTAAGCTATATCCCACCCACGGATGCCACGTCCAGGCCCCTCCGGACTGCGTGACCTTTTCCTCTTCGCTGTGGGGACAAGGTCGTGGGTTCTCTGTCCTCGGGCCCTCACCAGACATAGCAGCCACGCTGTGCCTCCAGCAAGAAGGGCACCCGGCCTGGCTCCCGGCTGAAGGGCAGTAACACTTGTGGCACATTGAGTTTGTTGGCCAAGGTCCCAATCAAAAACAGGAAGTAGTGTGGAGTCAAGGAAAAAAGGAGCCCGAAGCCTTGAGGAAGAGGCGCCCCAGAGCCAACCATGGCGACCGCCTGCTCTCGGCTCCCACTCAACTCCACGTGGCCAGCACCGGCACCAACCAATCCTAAGCTACAGCGTCACGGGGGTGTCTTTCTTGCTAGGAATTATGGGTACTTTCTAAGTTCGTCAAAATGCTAATTTATGGAAATTTTGGGCACAGACTCAAAGGGTCCCTTTACTGAATATTCAATGATAGACTTTTAACAGCAAAGAACCACATACAAAAGTCCAAAACAACTGGGCGTCCCATCTCTCCTCCTGTTGTTTCTAGCGTTTGACTCGATTTTTACTTTTGTAATAAAACAAGGCAGAAAGACTGGGGTTAAACTCATGACTCACATGTACAAAGGTCTAGGTTCAACCCTAATACTAAGAAACAAGTTACTTAATTTTAAAAATTGAAGTAATTTCCATTCAGCATTAGTCTAGGGCTATAAATAGGAAAAAAAAAAAAAAGTCCAATCTATAGGATAAACAGCTGTCCTTTGTAAAAGCAAATATGTTATTTTTCTCTAGGAACCAAATTTATGTCCTGTTTTAAGACCACAATTCGGGAAATACCAGACACTGGCCCCAGAAGCAACTTGGAAAGTCACTGTCTCCCACAGTACTACTTAGCAAAATAGTCCCTGGGAGCACTTGTTTTCTAGTGGGTGTGGTGGCCCAAAGAGCTAAGGCAGTGACACTCCCTGCGGTGCACCCACATAAAAACAGGCTACAGCATGCCTCTCATCCCAGGACACTGGGGAGGCAACCACCAGAAGGGGTCTGAGTGCCAGCCAGTCTAGTGAGTTTGTGAACACTAAGTGCAACCGGACATCCTGCCTAAAAAAAAAAAAAAAAAAGTGAAAAGTGATTGAGAAAGACACCTGAAAACGGTTTCTGGGCCCCATGCCCCCCCCCCCCCCAACAAAAACAATTCTAAATCTTTCCTCCAGGTATTCAAAAGAATCCTCAGGAGCATGAGCAACATCACATACTAAGGCGGTAGTCCACGGAGTCCATATGGTTGTCCAGCCTGTTGGACAGTACCTGACCTCCACTCTATAGGGGATGGCATTAAAAGACTTACATCCGGACAAACTTCCACCCTACCTTTAAGATTTGGGTTTGCATGCTGAGTACATGTTGGCACATGAGTGCCACCGCATGATTGTGGCCGGCAGAGGCTGACCTGTGTGAGTCAGTCCTTTCACTGTGGACACCGGGATCAAACTCACATCTTCAGGCTCAGCTGGTTGGTGCTCGTAGCCACTGAGCCATCTCACTGGTCCCCTTCACCGGCTGGAGGCACTTTCTCTTTGCAGTCCAGGCTGCTCTGGAACTTATGCAGCCCAGAATGGCCTCAAATTTGTAGTAATTCCATCTTTCCCAGGCTTCCCCACCCTTGCTGAAATTATGGTTTGAAGCCTGGCATACCCAGGGATTTGGCAGGAGCTAAGATTTTGTTGTTGTCTTGTTCAAGAAATATTTTGAGCCAAGTATGGTGGTGTACACCTTTTAACCCAGCAACCAAAAAAGGAAAAAAAAAAAAAAAAAAAAAGTTTTTTTTTTTTTGTTTTTCAAGACAGGGTTTCTTTGTGTAGCTCTGGTTGTCCTGGACTCAGAGATCCACCTGCCTCTGCCTCCCCAAGTGCTGGGATTACAGAAGTGCACCACCACTCTACGCTGAGCAGGAAATTTTAAAGCTGGGCATAGTAGCTTGTGCCTTTAATCCCAGCGCTCAGAAAGCAGGTGCAGGTGGATCTGAGTGTAACCCTGGTTTACATGTTAAGAACCAGGCCAGCCAGGGCTGCATACTATCTCAAACAAACAAACCAAAAGCTAAATAATAATGCCTGCAAGTGTGTAGAAGCCAGAGGCGAACCTTGGATGCTTTCCTCAAATGCTCTCTACCCTAATTTTTTTAAAAAATTGAATTTTGCTGGTTGTTGTTGGTGGTGGTGTACACACCTTCAATCCCAGCACTCGGGAGGCAGAGGCAGGTGGATCTCTGAGTTTGAGGACGGGAAGAGCTACCCAGAGAAACCCTATCTCACAAATAATTTTTTTTTTTCTTTTTCCACCAATTGTGGAGGTGAACACTTCTAATCTCAGCACTTGAGAAGCAGCAGAAACAGGCAAAGCTCTTTTGAGTTTGAGGCCAGTCTGGTCTACATACTGAGTTCCAGATAGCCAGGCCTTTAGAAAAACCCTGTCTCATAAAACAAAAAAAGGAAAGAAAAAAAAAATGTACTGAGTCTGTGCGTGAGCTTGCAGTTGAAGTGGACCATGTGTGCAGAAACCCTCAGGTGCCCTGGAACTGGAGTTACAATCGGCTGAGGCACAACTTGTGCTGGGAACCCTCTCCCAGCCCCACCCTCTTTTCTTCATAAACAAGTTATCCTTGAGCCCCTTGGGGCTGCTTGTTTTTCTAGACAGGGTTTCTCTGTATAGCACTGGCTGTCCTGAAACACTAGGTACTCAGAGATTACCTTGCCTCTGCCTGCTGGATTTAAAGTGTTTGACCTCACACATCCAAACAAGAGACAGGGTCTAGACTGAACTAACTGGCTGGCCAGTAAGCCCCAGGGATGCTCCTGTCTCACAGCAGGCTAGGGTGCTGGGACAACAGATAATATGCTGTCCTTAGCTTCCCCCCCCACACCCAAAGATTTATTTAAGCCGGGTGTGGTGGCTGACACTTGTAATCCCAACACTCTGGGAGGCAGAGACAGGTGGATCGATGTGAGTTCGAGGCCAGCCTGGTCTACAGAGTGAGTTCCAGGACACCCAAGGCTACACAAAGAAACCCTGTCTTAAAAAAAAGAAAATTGTTTTCCAAAATAAAATTTTTTTTCTGATGCATGCACATCAGAGCACGTGATAGATGGTTGTGAGGCATCACGTGTTTGCTGGGAATTGAACTCAGGACCTCTGGAAGAACAGCCAGTGCTCTTAACCACTGAGCCACTAAGCTTCTTTATATGGGAGCTGGGTGAGCTCTTAACAAGGGTGCCACCTCCCAAACCCCACAGCCAGATTCTGAATCCATGTTTATTTTTTGTCTGCTTTCGATTTGTGCACTCTGTTTAATCCTGCTGTTGTCAACCACAGAGACTCTTAACCCTGGCTGTATAGCCCCTGTAAAGAAAGCACATTTGGTCTAATAAAGTCACGTAGGTCTGAGGGTGGAGGGACTGGTTCTTTATTCCAAAATGTCAATATTCAGTATCAAAACAGTTGCACTATGGGGTTCTCTTCTTCCAGATGGAGAAGAATACAAACAAGCCAGGAAGCGGCAGGGTGTCGACCTAACAGGCCTGGAGGAACCACCTGAACATGGCGATTGGGTGGGGACACAAAAGATCAGCACACCAGCAGCCACAGACTGCAAAGAATTTGGACAGGTAATGGGTTGGCCAAGGTAACCCAACCCCCCCAAAAGCAAAATTTCAAAATAATATAAAATTTAAAAAGTTGTTTTTTTTTTGTTTTTTTACATAAGCTATTCAAGATTTCTCCAGCACTGACTGACACAAAGCACAATGAGCTGGCACTTTAGAGACAGCAGCTTCAGGAAAGGGTGATGAGATGACTTTCCTGTGGCTAAATCAGTGGCACGAACATAATCTTCCTTCCCTTTCTCCCTCAGGGGTCACCTCAACACTAAGGGGCAACATGATCCATTTTGTGAGCAGCTGGAAAAGGGGTAGAGATGAGACAAGTCTGGGCTCACACCCAGGCTAAAGCAGCACACTTGCCTAACACCCACAGGGCCCTGGGAGCTGGGGGCAGCTCAGACATCTCACCATCTTATTTGGTCACATCTGATGGAAAAGGTAAAAATAAAAACATGCGAAAAGTTGTTGACAGATATCACAGCTGAAAACCTTCACAGCCCGGAACAGTTTTTTGTTTTGGCTAACTTCCTAGAATTCCCTGTTGTTTGGCTAGGCCTTGGTGCAGAGCACTGAGGTCTCCCACAGTGGAGTCTGTCTGGGTCTCAGCAAGGCAGGCCGGTTCCTGTGGTCCTCCTCTATGGAGGAGTCAGTATCCATTAGGCTGAAATGTCACCTTCCGACAGTGGAAGGAACTGGGTTGCTGCTCCAAGCTGCAAAGTGCTGGGAATGTTACAAATGGTTGCTTAGACAAAAGTACTCAAAATGTGCATGTCACAACTGCACTGAAGACACTCTGCATTGTGCTCACATTCCCTTAAATATTGTTCCCAAACATGTCAGCCCCTAGAGCTGGAATTCTGGGAAGAGGCTGACACAGTTTTGTGAAAAAGACAGGAGGGGTAGAGAGGGTGGCAGGAGGGGAAAGCAGCCTTCAGTTAAAAAGATCAGCCCTCAGTTTCAAGGTCAGCTTCAGGCAGGCTGGCCTCTGGCGGAGTCAGGATCAGAGGGAGGAATATCCATGGGGCGGGGGCTGGGGATGCTCTACATCTCATTCAGGTCCAGCAGAGTCTGGTCCAGCATCCTTTGTGTACAGAGGTGTTCCTCTTTGGTGCACTTCAGCTTATCTAGTGGGAATAAAGAAGAGGAATTACACAATTTTCAAGCAATCCCCACCCTGAGCCTTGCTCCAGTTGCATGGAAGCTGCAGAAGCCAGCTACCACAGCCCTGCGTTTTGTGGGCTCTCTGGCTTGCCAACTGAGGCCAAGGAGTTTCTCTACTGCCTAGGGGAGGGAACTGGATTTAGCCATTTCCCCTCCTTCCAATAGGCAACCAAGAGACATTCAGCTTTCAGTCTCAAAAGGATCAGGCTGAAAGCATCCACTTTTTGACTCTGCCCACCTGAAATGCCACACTAGAGCGTGACCACTGCAGACAAGGGCAAACAGCAAAATCTCAAGTAAAGAGCACAGGACAATCCTCCTGCAGTAGGTATTTTCTCCACAAAGTGAAGGGGGCAAGAGTCCTCAGGTTTAAGTCAAGAATACTGCCCAGACACATTCTTGTAAGCAAAGCCCCACTGAGATTTTAGCAGAGTTATCAACAGAGCTGACCCGACAGTGACTTACAACTAAACACAAAAGCAGCAAGAAGGAAAACTACCAGGCAGAAGGCCAGTGGTAAGACACCAAGCACTTCATCTGCTTAGACAGTGAACCACAGAGCTTCATCAGAACCCGAGTGATGGCAAACAGACCATCTCCACACTTCAGCCTTCTTCCCACCCATTCCCACCCAGTCACAAAAGCCCAGCCCTGGGCCTGCAGATGGCGCACTTACAACACCTTGTCAAGCCAGTCTTTATTGTTAGAAAATATCCATGCAAGAGAGCAAACCCTACAGTGGGTGCACAGGTGAGAGGGCCGCAGCTAATGGCTTCCAAACTCCCCACTAAATCTCCCAGGCTCCTTCTTCATCACCCATAATCTCTTCTAGAATAGAAACAGCCATTGCAACTTCATGGGGGCTGCCAGGAAATCAACAGTATTCTAACTGCCCTCATTAGAAAGCAACCTGCTTAGGGCAAAACAGTATCTTTTAAAAAGGCAATCAATCAGCTTTTTGCTGGGGTCCAGGTCAGGAGTGTGGGTTTACTGGGCACCAGGGAGCCCTGCCCATCAGTCACACAGATCATGCAGCGTTAGCTTCAGCTCATTAGAAAGCAGGCGGTTTCGCTCAAGTTGGCTGTAGAGACGCTCTGCAGCGGCAACAGAGAAGAGGGAAGAGGAAAGGAGAAACAGGAGGAGAGAGAGAAAAGGGGAGGTTAGTGGACAGCAGAGGCAAATGTGTCATTCAACTAGCTGGTCTACATAATGTGCACCACTCAGCAGCAGAGTGTGGGGACCCAGAGCAAGAAGAGTCAGCCAGTTGGTGGAAAGACCAACAGAGGAATACAGCATGTAAGAATTTCAGCTGCAGGAGCATTCTGAGTGTGAAAAGACACTTCCTTCAGTTATCTATGGCTGGGCTGAGACAGTCACATGGCAGTACAGTGGACTTATAGGCAGTCAGCAATGAGGGTTCAGAAAAAGCAAAGGGAACACTATTTGTAACCATCTCACCCATTCAATCCTTCATTTTCAAATGAAGTGTTACTGCAGTGCTGTACAGCAGACACCCTGAAGCCCTCCCCAATTCATGTTTAGGTTGCCCTTTATGTAAGAAACAATCTATCCGGGTCAGCAGCATACCCAGCAGTTAAAGGATACAAGCCAATTATGACTACTGTGAGGGTTAGAGAGGAGGCTCAGAGGTTAAGAGCATTAGTGCTCTCCCAAAGGACCTGGGTTCAATTCCAGCCCCAACACGGGAGCTCACAACCTGCTGTAACTCTAGTCCTAGAAAATTCAACGCCCTCTTCCAGCCTCAGGCACGAGGCACACACATGGTGTGCAGACATACAGGCAGGCAAACACCCCACCCCCCCGAAAATACGAAAACTCTATTAATTTAAGGAACATCATGCTGTCTCCTTGCCAAAGGTGGTCACAGATTCCAGTCCAGGCCTGTGACCTGTAGGAGAAGCTGGGGCTCATGAGAAAATTTTAGTTTTCTCTCTTGCTTTGAATATAAATGTCATGTCCACCACTATATATTTCAATCTTAAGAAAATCAAAGAAGGTGCTGGAGAGATGGCTCAGCAGTTAAGAGCACTGTCTGCTCTCCAAGTGGTCCTGAGTTTGATTCCCCGGCAACCACATGGTGGCTCCCAACCATTTATACTAGGATCTGATGCCCTCTTCTGGCATGCAGGTGTACATGCAGAGAGAACACTCATAAATGAAATAAAAATAAGTCTGAAATAACTTAGAGCACATTTCAAGAACATACTCCCCTCCCCCCAACGAGAAAGATTCTTGCTCTGTTGCGCTGGCTCAGCTCAAACCTGATCTTGCGGCTGTGTCTCCCGAATGACTGTGACAACAGATGTGCACCACTCCACCCAGCTGTCGCTCACCTTATACCCAGAGATGCAGACAGGGAAGCAAAACTACTCTTGGTCCACCCCTACTATCAGCCCCGGAAGCTCAAGTTTATTTTGGTTATTTTTAATTTTTCTAAGACAGGATCTCACTATGTAGATCTGGCTGTCCTGGAACTCACTTTAGACGAGGTTGGCCTCAACCTGCCTGCCTCTGCTTCCTCAGCGCTGGGATTAAACGTGTGTTCCAGCATGCCCGTCTTGAAGATCAAGTTCAACTTCCTATGTTTTTAGAGCCTTCTGTGAGTGTGGGTGCCGAATGTGTGGCACAGCATGCATATCCACATATAGAGATAGGGAGCTCAGAGGACAAGTAGGGATTGGTTTGCCCCAGAGATCCAACCCAGGGCATCAGGCTTGGCAGCAGGAGACTACGGAGCTACCTTGCTGGCACTGACTACAGACAAATGGCCTAGCTAAAGTTCTTGGAGTGGCACTGTCCCTCCTCTCCCCCAGGGAAGAACATGGAAAACTGTACAGGGAGTCTGTTTTTCGAAGATTATGTATCTTATCTTGGGCTGGCTTCAAACTTGTGTGATCCTCCTGCCTCTGCCTTCCATGCCTCCATGACTGGCTACAGATGGGTTTTACTTTAACAGTGGCCAGAAGGTTCTGCTGGTATGTACTGGCTGGAGCAACATGATTGCATGCAGAGTCTTCCCCTGTCCTGTGACAGACGGGGAGTCAAAGCTAGTGGCCTGGTGCCTGGCCTGGTTGAGTAGGAGACATTCTTGACCAACAGCAGGCACATAAACTCTCACCCTTCAACATGTGTTGCTATGGATATGTCTCATCCATATCCAACTTGGTTGTATTCCCACACCGGTTTTAGGAAAGAAGGGTAGTACCCAGATCTTGTTCAACAGTCTGTTCCATTTAGAGAAATGATAAATAGATTTTACCACTTAACAAAATCCCCAAGTCGAAGCTCCCTAAAGACTGCGGTTAGAATCCCAACTGCTCTCTGAGCCTGAGCTTCGCTTGTTTCGAATGACTGAAATGTCGGTATTACATAGTGTTGGTTCACGAAGGCCCTCCCTTCCCCGGGAAGCCCAAACAAGACTCACTGGCTCACTCCAGCCATGCCCAATTGAGGAGTTCTCTAGAGGGGTCAGCAAGATGGCGCATGGTCGCTTGCTGCCAAGCCTGATGCCCTGAGTTGGATCTCTGAGGCAAACCACTCCCTACGTGCCCTTCGACCTCCTATCTCTATATGCGGATATGCATGCTGCGCCTCGCATTCGGCACCCACACTCACAATAAATTAAAAAAAAAAAAAAAAAGAATCCCAAGGAACTGTAGTATAGTCATGAAAAGAAGCTCCACCACTAGGTGACATCCGACCAAGCACAGCTGTTCCTCATTTCAACAACAGCAATGAGGGAAAAGAAACTCAGTTGGCTTTAGAGAGAAACATGCTAAGGAGCCAAGTGCTTTGCTCTGGTGTTGGCCCCAACAATGAACACATACAGGAACAGGATGTGAAGCACAGAATGGAGAAGGACCTACCTGACACTAGTTCTCAAACTTCCCTGGGATAGTAGAAAGAGACCTACCAATAGGGTAAAGCAGAAGCTACGGAGAATGAGAAGCCACCTTTCCCTTTTAGTCTATTGCTCTTAACTCATTCTTCTTTCCTTTTTAAATAATGCCACGGGTTGATTCTCGAACCCTGTGCACACCAGGCAAACAGCCTACCGTTCAGCTATATACAAGTCCCAGACTGCTTTCAGCTATTTACTTTGAGATAAGATCTCACTAAATTCTCACCCTGGTGTTCTAACTCCTGTCCAATACCAAATGTCTTCAACTTTGCTGAGCAACAGTGTCATGGGACTACTTAAGAGTCACATAACTATTTCAGACTGAATTCTAGCCTCACCACAAGACATTTTCAACAGCCACAAAAACAAGTGACTATCATACCGGACATTATTCTACTGGGCACAACCACTTTAAAACATATTTACTGCTTTTCTTCTTTCACTAAAGCTCTCCTGGCTCTTGAATGTTACCCCTTAACCCACCCTAATGCTCAACACATACCCTCAAACTGCTCCAGCGCTGGGCCCATCGCAGTTCCCTTCCCTCTCAATCTATCTGCTATCTATTCCTTCTATACTTCCAACTTCCTTCTATACTGCCCAACTAGGCTTTTCTCCTGATTTAACCTGTTCACACCTGCAGATGCTGGTTTTGTTTTCTTTTTTTTCAGGCTCAATGTAGCACAGGCTATCCTGGAACTAGCTATGTAGACTGGCCTCCTCTGCCCAAGTGCTGGGATTAAAGTTGTGTACCACCAAGGCCAACACCTGCAGATGTTCTTTATGGTTTTAAAGTGTTTGTGTAACTTAAAACTGCTTCCGATACCTCAGCATTCCAGATCTCTATTAGCCCCTCCGATTCCAGCCTCTGGATCTTGTTTTCACCTGCAAAACCTGTCAGTTTCTCAGACACATGCTTCTCTCGCTTCCCAAATCTCAAACCAGGACATTATTATGTCCCTACATCTTTAACACTGTCGCTTTCTTAGTCTCAAAGCCAGTAACCTAACTTTACTTCCATTTGCGTAGCTGTCAAAGTGTCATTTTACCAGACATGGCCACACATGCCTCCAACACACCACTTTTGAGGCTGAAGTGAGAGGATTGCTGAGCCTTAAGTTAGCCTGGGCTACAATGTGAGACCCCAGCTCAGAAAACTAGCTAAACAGATAAATCTGCAACCTAACCTCATATTTTCCAAGATGCGATATAGTCATGGCTAGTAGTATGCGCTGTACATGTAGTGTTATCTTGTGAACTTTAACTGAAATGTCTGCAACACGGGATCAGCACACTTGAAGATAATATGTTCCCACTCCGGTGCACACATAAAACACACACACATGTACTATTTTTTTAATTGTAAAAAGATTATTTGTTTTGTTTTTTGAGACAGGGTTTCCTATGTAACCTTGACTGTCCTGGGACTGGCTCTGTAGACCAGGTTGGCCTCAAACCCAGAGGCCATCTGTCTCTGCCTCTGTGCTGAGATTAGAAGTGCGCATACCACAGACCAGAAAAAGTTGATGCTTTACAAGTCGATTTTTAAGGAATATCACTATACTGGCTGGCCCAGGACTTGATATGTAGACTGGACTGGCCTTGAACTCAGAGATCCATCCTCTGGGATTAAAGACATATACCACCCCACCGGCCTTGTTTATTTTTGATCAGGGTCTTGCTATGTAGTTCAGTGTGGCCTTAAACTTCTGATCTTCCTTCCCCAGTGTTCCAAATGCTGGGCACAGGCCTGCCCACCATGCCCAGATCCAACTTCTTGTAGCACGCCTGCGCATAAACTACAGTGGCATCTCCACCACTTTTCAAACTCAAACAGAGCTTCCCAGGAGCACTTCAGCAACCATCATGCCCCACGACAGCCGCCCTCACGGCTACTGTGTTTTTCTCTAGTTCTGCTTTTTTACCTTGTTTTTATTTAACTAGATTACTGAGTATTAACTATCTCCAAACTGAATTCTGCTCATGAAAAGCCAAACCTGGGGCTGGTTATGTAGTTCAGTGGTGTTTGCATCAGCAAAACAAAGACAATGAACAAACCCCACCTAAACCAGGCAGAAGCAGGAATGCATGAGCTCAAGGCCAGCTTGGGCACACACTGAGTTCTAGAATAGCCAGGGACAATAGAGAACTGTCTTAAAAAGACAAAGAACTCAAAAATTCCAATTTGGGGACCATGATGGAACCAGTGTCCCTCCCACTTAGCTCTCCAATCTTGACTATCTGCAGCTCACAGAGCAGCTTTAACTTTGTCCTTTAGATTCAGAGCAACCTGAGTGCAGGTGGCTCCTTGGCTGCATTCAAGTCTACCAGGATAGGACAGCTAGAAAATATCAGTACCTGCAAATAAACCAACCTCTACCGAACCTCAGGGGCAGGAAGAAATACTGCAGGCGAAGGAATCTGATTTGGTAGAAACTCAAGACTAGGGCAAACTTCTCTACCTAGCTGCATCTTTCCTTTCCTTTATTTTTTGGTTTTTCAAGACAGGGTTTCTCTGTGTAGCCATGGCTGTCCTGAAACTTGCCCTAGACCAGGCTGGCCTGGAACTCACAGAGATCCGCCTGCCTCTGCCACCCAAGTGCTGGATTAAAGGTGTGCACCACCACTGCCCGGCCAGCAATTTCTTAAACAAGATTTTATTTATTTTTTTTTTTATATGAGTTGCTCTCTCTGCATGTACACGTGCACACCAGAAGAGGCTATTAGAGGGTATAGATGGCTGTGAGCTCCCATGTGGTTACTGGGATTTGAACGCGGAACCTCTAGAAGGGCAGACAGACTCTTAACCTCTGAGTCATCTATGCAGCCAAAATGCCCCCTCTTTCCTTTCTTTCTTTGTGGTACTGGGATTCTAACTAAGGGCCATGTTCTCTCCCTATAGCCCTATACCACATCCACAGCCCTGGATACTGAAAAGAAAAGGCAAGTTTCAAATACACACTGCTAAGAAACAAATACTATACAACATTTAGCTGTGGTACCAAGTATATCTGTTGTATAAACTGGAACAGCTCTGAAGTGTTGATATTCAAGAATTTTTCTAGTAGAAATTTAACAGTAAGTCATTACCCTCATGTTTGAACTATGATTGACTGGTTGTTTTCATTTTTCCATTAATTTTTCGTGTTTTATATCTCATTAGAAACAAAGTTGAGGTAGCAGCTCAACTTTGTGAGAAAGGTTTAAAGATGAAATGTCCATCTATTGAGAATTCAACCCACTAAGTTACAGTTTTCTATGACTTGGGAGGATAGAATTGTTTAACTGTAAGGATGGATCCCACAGGCCCAGTGTGCTCAGAGGACGGAGTGTCTGAATCCCTGGCAAAGGACAGAGCGTATTAGGAAACAACTCAGTATGGGGAAAAAGGCCTTAGGGAATGAAAATGCTCCAGGTAGACTATTTCAGAATTCAGAAGTAAAAGACTTAAGATGGTCTGAAAGGCACGAGAAATAACTCCGGACTTCCTACCACGAGCAGCCTTTACTAGATCACCAGGCTGACAAGACTCCAATCAGCACGTTTAAGTGTCAAGAAAAACACACACACAGAAGTAGCTTTGATTATACATTAGTCAGAAGAAGGGGAGCCTAACGCAGCTGTGCCCACATCACACCGGCAGGGCTCCTTCGTATGTACACCAACAGCTTTGTCAACAACACAAATGCAGGAGGGCATGAGGCTTCTGGCAGCTTAACATTTTAATATGGGGTGAAAGCAAATATGTAAACTGCTTTGTGACCCCCCCTCAAGCCTGCCCCCAGCCCTAAGGCTTTGGGAAACAGCCAGGCTGACCCAAATGGAATCCAGAGCGAGTAGGGTGTTGGGTTCCCCAAGGAAAGGGGGCAGATCCAGCACTGAGCAGAAACGGTGACAGTTTATCTGTATAAAAAAGGACACTCCAGGTGAGAAGGGCTGGCTCAACTGAGGCAGCAGCTTGAGAGGAAGGAAAAGGGGCAAAAGAGCAGCAGGAAAAAGAGAGCCAGACACTACAGGCTGCAACACTGGGCTGCTCCCAGGGTTAGCGCAAGGAAGCAGAGATTAGCATTAGGGATCAGATCCACAGCAAACAAATGGAAGTCCCACAAAACTTTTGGTGCTGTTTACTGCTTGGCTTGCTTTGGGGCTCAGCTCAATTCTTAAAACTGGCTGCTTCTCATCCCAGGGATGTCCTATTGTGAGCTTTAGTAGCAGGGCACAGATCAGGATCTCCCTCTCTCTCTGTCTTCTTGTTTGTTTTTTGAGATAGGGTCTCTCTCAGAAGCCCTGGCTATTCTGGAACTCACTTTGTAGTGAGGCCAGGTTGGCCTCATATTCAAGACATCCACCTGCCTATGGCAGGATCGAAGGTGAGCGCCAGCACACCTGCTGTGTTTTGCTTTTGAGACCCTGTCTTGCCATGCAGCATTAGCTGACCTTAGCAGCTAGACTGTAAGGACAACAGCTGTGTGTCAGCATACCTAGCTTTGAGAAACAAAAGTGAAAACTCAGTGCCAAGGAGAACTGGGCACAATGGCACGTGGTTGTAATCTTAGCAGTGGAGGGTGAGTCAGGAGAATCTGGAGTTTGAGGTCACCATGGCTTACATAATTAGACCCTGTCAGAGCTCCATGGGAGAGTAAGTGAGGACGCAAACTGCATCCAAGAGTAAACACCTCCCCAGGTTCTGCCAAACAAATAACCAGCACCAATGTTTCCCAGGCTGCACACTCTGCACCCTCACCCAGAGCCAGGGACCCCCCCACTCAGCTGCCTGATAGTTACATAGAGGTCATGTCATTGAGGGCGTGGTCCAGCTCGTCGCTAATGGCCTTGTACTTCAGTTTCTGGGCATAAAGCTCGTCTGGACAGGCACAGGAACCACAAGGATAAAGTGAAAGGTATCAGAAGCAGATGAAGAGAGGGAGTCATTAGAAAATAGGAAAAATCTGTGTGAGTTCAAAGCCAACCTGGTCTAAAGTCCAGGACAGCCTGTCTCAAAAAAATAAAACAAACAAAAAGGAAAATAGGAAAAATGTGACTGTGGGTCTAAAACCACGATGGGAAACAAAAAAAAGCTTCTTCTGGCAACTGTGACTGGCCATTTTCAGTCTACTTTTCCCAATGGCCAACTGTACTTTCTAATGTCTCAAGTCAACTGTGGCAAGAACTGAGAACCTGAACATATGCCAGGCACCCGAGGACACCACTCCTGCACAGCCCAGAACCAGTGATAAAACTTACGGACAACAGAAAGAGAAAGCACACATGCGCGGTGACCATCCTCAGCCTACTCAGCGTGATCAGTATTCATGGGCCCTGGGCTCTACAGGGCGCCTCCCCAAACCCTTTCAAAGAACATCCGGTCACCAAGAGCGTATGTATCAAGGCAGTCCACGAGAAAAGACTTGTTTCCTTGTTAAGGTGGACAGACAAAACTGCCAGACTGCAAGAACAAGAAGCCCTGACGCTGTGCAACTGTGAGACGTGGTTATTACCTCCTGGAGAGGTGTCCCCCAACTTGAGTAAGAAGAAACAGCTCAAGTGGCCATAGGGTGACACACCGACTTCACTACCTTCTAAGCAGCATGGCTTCCACTTTGACTCACAGACTCAAGAATTAAGAAATTTAAGACTACTAAATTGGGAGATAAATACAGCCATTAGATCTTTTTAGCGGAAAGGTGGCAAATTCTGGAAATAAGTGGCCTTATTAAAGGAAAAGATTAAAAATCCAACTCCACGGTTTGACCTACTTTCCCTCGCTACAACACAGGGCAGGACACACCAAGGCGCTACCAGTTCTCTGATGAACAGAGAAGAGGCTCAAGCTGGACAGGCAAGGCCTCCCTCCCACACACACGCCATACCTTCCAAGTCATCAATGGTCTTTTCCAGCTTGGCTACCGATCTTTCAGCAAACTCAGCACGGGTCTCTGCCTGAGGAAATATAAGGCCAATCAGAATGAAAGATGGTTATTTCTTCCCCTCATGCCTGTAGGCCATTCAGAAGCAAGGCCAGCAAGGCAAATTACCAATGTAACATTAACGCCTTCTATCTCCCCAAAGTGTCAGCCCCTCAGCTCACCTCCTTGAGCTTATCAGTAAGAATCTTTATTTCTTCTTCATACTTGTCTTCTTTTTGAGAGTACTATTAAGAGAAGCAGAACACAAATGTCAGCGGAGAACCTGCAGAAAATCGCCATGTTACTCTTACATTGCTCATACACATTCTTTGATGGGGATTCAATTTGGTTCTGGACTAAAAGCAAGGACCAGTTTTTGACAAAGGGTCCCAAGACTTAAACATTTCCAATATAAAACTCGCAGAGTGAACTCCACCGGGACCCTCTTTTGCTTTTGTTAACAGACTTAACTTTTGACCTTACTCCAATCAACCCAAAGGGTTTTCGTTCTCCAACATCATCAGCAGAGATCCACAGTTAAAGCCCAATGATAGTAAGCGGCAGCCACCCGTCCTGACTACTGGGTGGATTGAGAGCTGGGGCTCTGCTTCCCCCAGCTGACTCTTCAGATTCTACAGAGCTCCTCTAACTGACCGGAGCACAGCAGCGTCAGCTCAATGAGCACATGACTGTAGGCCCCGGAGACCACAGAGTTAACTGAACCTAAGCCATGGAGGCAGACAGGAATTAGCACTAAACCTACACTCTGATGGACAAAGGTGGGAAGGAAGAGGACGATTTTCCCTGGATTATATGGAATGGGTGTGCCTGTCATTAAGGGCAGGGCTGGGCCCAGGCCCCAAAGCCTGCCATCCTCACAAACCAGCCCTACCTTCTCCGCCTGAGCCTCAAGAGACTTGAGGTTGTTGGTGACATTCTTCAGCTCCTCCTCCAGCTCAGAACACTTACTGTGAATATTTTACATACCGCAGGAGAGGAAAGGGGAAAGAGGAAGAAATAAAAAAAATAAAATAAAATAAAAATAAAAAAAAAAGGAGAGAGACACACAGATGTGAATTGAACCTATGTGTAGAGAGAGCTGGGCTGCAATCAGGGAAGAAAAGTTTCTGGGTAACCTGAGCAAGCATCAGCCCGGCCCCCTCTACCATGGCACATGTATGGCAGGGGCTGGACCCCTGTGCTCAGAATGTTTTGCTCTGATAAAAAAAGAACACTTGAGAGAAATCACTCACTACCAGGAACAAGTTACAACTGCTCCTTGGGTGGTGGAGGTGGGGACGGATGCCCAGCCCAAACAACCCCCCCAAATTACTGAAGGGAGGCAGAGGCCCTCTGGGGGAAGGCAGTGAAGCGACTAGGAAAGAAGAGATGAGAGATGCCAAGTGAGTGGAAAGGAATGGAGCATTCCATGGAGAAACGAGAAAGCACTCAACAAATCAACTGGTGGAGGGGAGGCAGCTGCAAAACCAAACCGAACTGAAAGAAAGCATACCACAGGCACGGAGCCTCTCCATGGGCTTAATGGTTAGTACCTTTTCTTCAGCAGCACTCAGACACTTCAGGTTCTGGTCCATGAGTCTGATCTGCTCGTCCATCTCTCGGCAACGGCTGTTAGTGACAGTCACGGGAGTGGCACAAGCCAGGTTGTGGGGAAAAGGTTAAAAAAGGAAGAGCAAGAAAACAAGCCGCAAAATGGGGTGTGGGGTGGGTAAAAATAAACAAACAAACAAACGGGAAGAAAACATCACCATGGTCATGATATGTCATGTCTGGAGGGAGGTGCAAGGAAAGCACAAACATACTCATCCATGCTGACTTTGTTACACAAGGCCAGGCTGGCACCAATGGGCAGCAGGTGATTTCTCTAAAGCCTTTGCTCTCAAGTTCCCAGGCAGATTGGCAAAGTGGTAAAAACTGAGACCAGGTCTGAAGTCAGTACAGGCCAAGGAGGAAGAAATTCCAGGTGGAAGGACCCAATAGGATCTTCCAACTAGCTGTTTGCCATATTAGTCTCTATGTTCCCTCAATCTGAGAATCTTCCCGAGAATAAGCAAGCCTTGTTACCTGTTACTAGTCAAGATAAGAGAAAGCCCAAAGCCATTTTTAGAGGCTAAAAAGCACTATCGACAGCTACCACCCTCCCGGGCCTGTTTAACAAGGTCGAAGGAATGCTGGTTTACTCGGATTAGTGCCCAAGCAGGAAGGATGGTCTGACAAGATCTGGAGACAAAATACTCACGACTCTGCCAGCTCGGCTCGTTCCTCCGTGCGTTCCAAGTCTCCTTCAATAATCACCAACTTCCGAGCCACCTAGAAGACAAGACCTTGGTACAGCTCAAGCAAGCAAGGGCAACAGCCCTTCATGGCAGTCTCTGCAGAGCCTTCACGTCACTGCAGAGGTGGCTCACCTCTTCATACTTCCTATCTGCCTCTTCTGCAATGTGCTTTGCTTCCTTTAGCTGGATTTCCTGGAGTTCCATCTTTTCTTCATCTTTTAGAGCCCGGTTTTCAATCACCTTCATACCTCTGCCAGAAACCGGATGAATACAGCAATGACTCTGAGGTCTGTATCAACTCCATTCCAAGAACTCAAAGTCACAGCCTTCAGAGTCCATTCCTGTTTGCCACCCAAATGGAAACTTGATAACACCCGAGTACATGCACCATTTAATTTAAAACATGGGCTAGGAATATAGCAGATGTCTGGTATGTGCAAGGCCCCAGTTCAATTCACACAGTACAAAATAGTAGTAATAGAAAATCACTACCATTTAAAAAGCAAATGTGGGGCTAGGAGTGTAACTCGGTGGTAGAGGATGTGTTCAGCATAAGGTAGATGCCAGCTTCAATTTGCAAAAACAAAAATAGGTCTAGAACAGGATGTGGTGGCATAGGTCTGTAATCCCAACACTTGGAAAGTGGAGGCAGGAGGCTCAAGAGTTCAAAGCCAGTTTGGGCTACATGAGCTCACGCTTCAACAAAAAACCCAAACAAAACAAAAAACAGGTCTAGAGGGAAATCTAGGTCAGAACCACTACCAACTATTTTGTTTGCAGTGCCAGGGAGGGAACCCAGGGCACAGAAGGAGAGTGATGCACCACTCAGCTACCCCACTGCCCAATTCTTTTGGAACTCACACGCCCTCGTGTCCCCCACATACCTCTCACTCTCATCAGCAGCCTTTTCCGCTTCCTCTAACTTCTGCAGAGCAGTGGCAAGGCGCTCCTGAGCACGGTCCAGCTCCTCTTCAACCAGCTGGATTCTGCGATTCAAGGAGGCCACCTCAGCTTCAGCCTTAAATCAATAGGAAAGGTTAACAACTGTGACAGACCTGACTGCTACGAAGAGGTTAGAGTCACACAGATCCTGTCTTGTCCCAAATGCTAAAAGATCTAACATACAGGAGTAGAAATCAGCTTCCTTTTTTGCCATCTAAGAACTCCCATTTGTCCTACATGAAACGTTTTGTTCCTGCAAACCAATCTCATGTATCCCAAGCTGGCCACACAGTAACTCCCTGTGTTGGGATTACAGGTATGTACTGCAGTGTCCAGTTCATGCTGTTCCATGGATGGCACCCCCGGCTTCATACATGCTACACAGGTACTCTAATAACTGAGATGAACCCTCAGCCCTGAAGTGTGTTTGAAAATTCAGTTCCTTGTCCAGACAGTATTATCCTCTCTCTTCTGGACTTAATTCAAATTTCAGAACCTGTAAGAGTCAACAAAGCCAGGTGTGATGCCACACACCTTCAATCCCAGCACACAGAAGGCAGAGGCAAGTGGGTCTCTGTGAGTCTGAGGCCGGCCTGATCTACATGGTGAGATCCTGTCTCAAAAGCAGCTAGAGGGCTGGAGAGATGGCTCGGAAGTTAAGAGCACTGGCTGCTCTTTCCAGAGATCCTGAGTTCAATCCCCATCAACCACACGGTGGCTCACAACCATCTATAAATGAGATCTGGTGCCCTCTGCTGGTGTATAGGGGACATGCAGACAGAACACTGTATACACAATAAATAAATAAACCTTTAAGATCAGAAGTATGCGTCATTACTCAATAAATGACAGCTACTTCTAGCTTTCAACTCTAGATCCTCTGCTCCGGTCTTTACCTCCTGAGTGCTGGGACTACAGGCATATACCAGGCATTTAGTATTTCTATCATTTTATCATAATCCCTTCTATATTAACTAAATTTGCAGCTTAAGTTGTTAATCCTCTGATCACCTTACCCTAACACATCAGGAGGATGACCAACTAATGCCTTCCGGAACAGCTTTCCAGGCAAGGAAGCATAAGAATGCAAGATTGGAGTAACTGTGGCTGGAAAGATGGCTCAACAGCTAAAGGCGCCAGATGCTGAGCCTGAGACCCCAAATTCAATCACTGGGACTCACACAGTAGACATAGTAGACAGAGAACTGGTCTCCACAAGTTGATCTGACCACCACACATGCTCTGTTCATACACACGCTTTAATTAAAAAAGAAAATAGACTGGGCTATCTTCCCCCCCACCCCTGCAGTATTCCCTTAACAAAGAATGCTATACTGTGATAATATAAAAACAAGCAAAGAAGAAACCTAGCCTCCACCTACTGCTATGCCTGTCTGTCTGAACTGCCTTTCTATTCCTCATAATCGCCTAAGCTTCACTGGACTTAGTACAATTCTGACAGTCATTTCTTCAGCTTCACAAACAATAAAGTACAAGCTCAATCCAAGTAAGTCACTAACTGGCTATGAGCAAGGAACAAACAGAAGCTGTAGCTTGTGCACTGCCAGTCTATGGAAAGTGTCCTCATAGGTGTGATAGCACATGGCCACATAACATTCTGGAGACTGAGACATAGGGACCATGAGTTCAAGGCCAACACGGGTACATAGGGAGAGCCTGTTTCAATAAACAAACAAGCCACCCCAAATTTAAGACCTCTGCTGCACATGGATGCATGCAGATGTTTCTATCCTGGTGAACACTAGCTCTCCTTTCTAGCCCAGACTGTGCCTGAATTCTATTACCCTGCTTTCCTCTTAACAGGCAAGGGTGGTGGCAGCTGAAGAATCTGGGCCATTAGCCCTATGGGGAGCGATATAACCAGACAAGACTCCTGCTAACATTCAGGAACAAAAATTTCCACATACAAACACAGGAGATCAAAGAGACTGGGAAAGGAGGCAGGGGAGCGGGCTACAGGAAAAGAAGATTGACAAGTCTACACAAATTGACATTCCTAAGAAACCATTTGTGTCCCTAACTGTACCATTCAGAGCACCACAAAGACAAGCATTCTCTAGTTCTGTCTCTTCTAGGAAAACAGATGTCCCGGAGGATAATGCAGATTTATCCTCACAAACCCAACAAGGCCAACCAGTCCAGGGCAGGGCAGGCCAGGCTATCAGGGCAAGGCTACACACTCACAGTACTAGACAGTACTTACCCCTTTCAGATGCCTAAAACCCAAACACCAAATATGCAGCTGGAGGTCATTCAGCAGGTAAGAGCTACAAAGAATCAGGCTGATCCCCAGCACCCACAGGGTGGTTCACAACTATCCAGTTTCAGAAGCTCCAAAGCTCTTCTGACTTCTGTGGGCACCAGGCACATGTAGTACACACACATACACTACACAGGCAAAACATTCATATACATAAAATAAATAAATCTAAAGGGAAAAAAAATCAAAGAAAAAGAAAAATGCAGCTGGATTTGCAGGAAGCACTGAAATGTAAGCCCCCATCCAGCTCCAAGTTACCCAAACTGGAAAAAGATAACAGGCTATGGGGGCAGGGTAGTTTCCATGGCAACAAGCTGGCTCCCACATTTTCTCCTACAAAACAGCATTTACAATTGAATTCTTCACTAGGGTGAAAAAGGAGGAAGGGAAAATACATCTCGATGCTCAAGCCTGTGTTAAAACAAGAACTGCCGACTAAGGAGCTCCCGGAGCCCCCGCAGAGGCTTCAGACAGAGCAGAGGGTGTTGGGTTCAGAACAGGAAGTTCTACTTCTTCCCCTAAAGCAGACCAGTTCTCTCTACAAGGAAACAAAAGGCTGCAAAATCAAGATCTGACACTCCCTTTAACTGAATATGGAAGACAGCTTACACATACCACACAGGTCAGCAGGTCAGGTCAGCCTTTGTCAGGCTAGATTGATCCTGAGAAATATTACATTTTATGTTTTTCTTTCAGTTATACTACGTTTTACCTGAATGTCCAGTAGAGCCTGAAACTGGAAGGATACAGTGTTAGGTCTTCCGCTCAATGGTTAAGAGGGTTCTCCATTGTTCAAGAGGCAAAATCCTGGTAGTGGAATGCAGCAGCCATTTGCTCACATTAAAAGATGGCCGACAGTAGCTTTGGCTATGACAAAAGTTTAGTCTAAATGCTCCATCGGGCTGTCCATATTGGCTCAGTGGGTAAGGGTGGTTTGTACCCATCTATGCAAGCCCGACAAGCTGGGTTTTGATATCCTGAACCCATATAATGGTGAGAATTGACTCCACAAAGCTGCACTCTGTCCTCTATGTGTGCTGACATCCTCACAGACACACAATATATGCATACTCAATAAGATTCCCCCCTCACTTTTTTTTTTTTTTTTTTTTTTTTTTTACTGTGGAAAGAGGCCCAAAGCGTACCACATCCCTTAATGTAAGCTGATGAGGAGCTGGTAGTCAGAGACAGAGCAGGGCCAAGGACAGAGGGGAGAAGTCTAAATCCGGCACTCTACCCTGGGCTTTCCCTTTTTAGATGAAAGTCACAGGTATAATTCAAAGCAGAGATAGTACTAGAAAAGTCAGGCCTGTACTGAAGAGGGGAGCCGGGGGGGGGGGGGACTGTGTTTACACATGCCAGGGGGCAACCAGCAAGCTCTAGACTCTGTTCTCCAGGAATTTCACCGAGAGGGAGGAGGGCTGGAGACTGCAGGTATCTGCCCACCCCAGAGTCAATAAAGGTGGAGTCTAAGCAGAGGCACTTAGAGCAAAGGGCTGTTTGCTTCTCCTGTAGGAGCGTGCTCTGAAATAGGGGGGCAGAGAAAGGCAAGCAGCAGCCAAACCAATCCAAACCTCTACCACACAGAGGTCACAATGCTCGTTATGTGTCCACCAAATACAGGGACCTATGGCCAAACACCCTAGCCCCCTTCAGGGACCAAGAATTTGAGCTTAAGGCCAGAACCCCTGTTCAAAGACCAGCCCCCTCAGTAGTACTTCTAATGTTTTAGGGTGGAACAAAATGAAAAATAAAAAAGACCATGGAGATCTTGGAGAGAAATGTTTTTAAAGGATAAGAACAGGGCTAGAGAGATGGCTCAGTAGGCAGGGCACTGGCAAGATTTTGGCTCCCAATACCTATATGGTGGGGATGGTGCGGTGAGTTCATAACTACCTGCAATTCCAGCTCGAGGGTGTCAGACACACACACATACGAGTAAATAAAATCAGTAATCAAAAAGAAATGTTCCAGTGGAGACCCTGGCATGGCAGTGAACATCAGGAAACAATTCCAGGGGCTGAAGCAGAAGGATCTCTTGAGTTCATCCATTCAAGGACAGCCTGGACAGGTATATGCATATATGTTACATATGCATTTATGGTAATACATCAGCAATAAACACATTAAAACTCTATACTGTCACCTGCTAAGTTTAGACAGAACAGGGTCAAGGGTGTAGGTCAGTGGTATAAAGCTTGTCCAGCATAAGGCCTTAGGTCTTATGCCAGCACCACTTAGGAAAACAAAGCAATAAAACCGTTTTACTAAATACAAAGGAAATTCCAAGCTGAAAGTAAGGCTTCACAGGGAGCTATACTATCAAAGGCCTGTCTCCAGGCCAAGAACAGGAACGTCTGACCTGAGAACCTGCCTGTCAGCTTTGGTCTCATCCAGCGTGGATGTCCATACAAAGTAAGCAGAAAAAGATCAGACAGTCCACTAATATAGGAGCATAGGATTCCATCAGGTAGTGCTGGCAGGAGGAGCCTCCAAGACCCACATTCCATGGTGGCCCTACAGCAGAGGCAGCCCAAGCATTCCCCTTCCCTCTGTGGCTCTTCAGGAGGGGCTCAAAGTTCAGAGTGCAGACAGTCAAAGGCTCACAAAGAAGACACTAGTTTCATCAATATTTAACTACCACCCTACTTCCCCATTCTGAGGACTTCCTCAGGAGACTTTGTGAAAAAGCACATGTGGTAAGCTCTGAACCTGTGAAAACACTCATCACACACAAGGAAGGAGCCAAATGTACCTACAAGGAAACTGACCAAATTCTAGGACAGACTGACACACCCCACCTTACCCTAAAACCAGTCCCAGGGCCCCACATAAGCATCAGCCGATGACTCTGCAGCACATGGTCCATTCCTTCCACTGTTCTCTCCCATTTTCCTTCTCAAGACTTCCTCATCTCTAGAACAATCTCACAAGAATTGATAAGGAGAAGCTGCAGGCATGCCAGCAGTGGCCAAGCAAGCCTTTAATTCCAGCACTTGGGAGGCTTGGGCATACTGGGAATACAAAGGAACACCCTGTCTCAAAGCAACCATACTGGACGCCTAAGAAGGGTGAAGTTAAGACATGCTCTGACATCTCCATGCCCAGGTATAAAGTATTTTGATAATGTAAAAGGAAGGGAGCTGTGGTCTCCTTTTCCACTCACCCTTTTGCCCTCTCAAAAATATTCTGTTATTCCCCAAATGGGCAGCAAAACGGAGAGAAAAAAAAAAAAAAAAGACACCAAAGGAAGAGCAATAAAGAACACCAACAGGCCACAAGAGCTCTTTTCATTAGGTCTTCCGTAGGAATCCATTCATCCCACAAACACTTTCAGTTGAACAAAAACCATTGTACTGAATAACCGAGAAAGCAGTCTCCCAAAAATCACCAGTGCCGCACATTAATGTTTCCATTCTCCACGGGGTTCAAACCGGTGAGGAACCTTGAGACTGACGTGGCATCTGACTCTGCTATACACTCCCTTATCAGCCCTGCTTAAATGTTTTCCCTAAGTCAAATTTGCACTGCTCACTCTTCTGGCCTGAATCTGGCAGGCATTCCTGCCTTCCAGGTCACGACAGGCAGAGTAAGTTTGCGAGCTCCCACATTCGCGAATCTCGGGAAGAGCATCATCTCCTCTCCCACTGCACAACTGAGGGGCGGAGGTACCAGTTAGTTATAAAAAGTCCCCACGCTCGAGGATGGGAGGTGGTGCTGTGGCCTCAAGCTCCGCCAGTGAGGGAGGGAACCGCGCTTCCTCTCAGCCAACTGCTGGCTCATTTCCTGAGCAGGAGGAGGGAGCGGAAAAGCTGCCAGCAGGCCAGGTCGGGGGCTTTCCGGCGGTTCCCACCTCCCACCCTCATTTTTCACAGGTTGGGTTCGGCCCCGCCCGAACCAGAGGAGCACACACTTACTTTTACCCTTCTGGCCGGAAACCTCAAGAGAGAGCAAAGTGTCCCCACCCTTCGCGGAGCAGTGGGGGAGGGAAAGGGCGCTGAGCCCCTCCCCTGGCCGCGCCCGGCTCCGAGGGACCGAATGAATGAGCGAAGGGAAAGGGCAGCCCGCGCCGCGCCGGGCTCGATGCTTTCCAGGGTCCAGCCTGCTCGCGCGAGCACCTAGTTTCCTCTGTGCTCGCTAACCCGGCCATCGCAATCGTGTCCCACCCAACCTCGGGGCTCCGTGTCTAGTCCGGGCCCCCAGGATGCCGTGCAGAGCTCCACAGCGGAGGGGCGCCTCGCCCTTCCCTGCTGCGCCTCGCCCTCCGTGCGTACCTGCTCCCTGGCCCGCCTCTCTCCCTCCACTTCCCGCTGGAGGCGCTCGGCCCTCTCCTCGGCATCATCCGCCTGCTGCTGCAGAACCTGGATCTTGCGCTTCACCGCCTCGATGGTGGTGATCCCGGCCATGGTGCCCACCCAGCTGCTTCTGGAAATCGGGTCGCTACCTCCTCCGCTCGGCGGTGTAGCCGCTTCTCACCCTACTTCCGCCTGCTCCGCCCTGAAATACCGGAACTCACCCACCCGTCCGGATGTGACGCCACCGCCACCGCGCGTCCTCCCCCTGCCAAGCAGGCGGGAACGCAGTCCACTCGAGGGGCAGCGGGCAGAAAGTGAGGGGTGGAGCCTCGCAGTCGCCCTAGGCGAGCACTCTGGGCGGTATTTCCTCAGACCAGTAAAGGGGGGCGGGGTTGGGTAAGGCTACCATAGTAACTGAGAGGCGTTTCGTGGGCTAGCCTCATCCACCCGGCTGCCTCCCAACAATGGTTGGCCCATTTACAAGTATGGTGCTATCCTTAACACTTCCGGAGTTGACCCCTCTCTTGTCAAGTGCCTTCCTACCACCGTGTCCTCTCCGCAATATAAAATATCCCACCTGTTTCCACTTCTGCTCAGTCTGTGACAAACTCCAAAACCAGATTCTGAGAAAAGCCGAAAAAAAACTCTAGACTTCATCTTGCAAGGAGTTCCAGGGAACTCCTTTGAAAATCTCCTCAGAGGGCAGGTGGATACTGCTCGGTTTTAGAGCAGTAGCCTAGCACTCACCAAGCTCTGGGCTGGATCTCCAGGAACACATAAACTGGCATAGTGGCTCCTATCTGTAATCTCAGTACTTGGGGGTGGAGACAGAAAGATCAGAAATCCAAGGTCATCCTTGGCTACATGGTAAATTCAAGGATAGTCTGAGCTACATAACACGCTGTCTCAAAACAAAACCAAAAATTGTTGAGCTAGGATCCCTCCCATTTCCTGCTAGTTGATAAAGGAACTACGTGGTGAAAGACACGGGCAAGTTGGCATTCTCTTAGGATCTGGTATGAACTTAAGTGTCTGTGCAGAATACCAGGCTTGTCTCCTGTAGCTTTTGAGTCTGTATGCACAACCAGTTAACCTGGCAGCCCCTTTGAGCCTTTGGAATGATTTAGGACTTAATATTCATGTACAACCTCTTTTGTGGACAAGATATTTATGCCTCTATCAGGAAGAATTCCTTATTACGCTCCCCTTATGATCCTTCGTGCAACAGCAAGATGTAAGTATCTGGAAAACTATTATGGAATTTAACCTCTAAACTGTTAGCGCTTTCATCTTTTAACTTTTACTGACACTTCGGCTTTCAGGTACTCCAAGGAACTATTATATGAGCTAGAAACTACTCCTGCGGACGCTGTTATAAAAGAATTTCTGGAAGCACAGCTGTAAGGTTTATTGTGTTTTTCTCTCTGCTTCTCTAGTTTTTGTTTAGTTAGCTTGTTTTTATTTGTTTGTTTGTTTGTTTGTTTTTGTTTTTTATAGATGGTGTCTCAGGTAGTCCTTGCTGGCCTTCAACTGATTTTTGTAGCCCTAGTTGGTCTTAAGTTCTGGTCCCTTCTTTATCACCTGCCTAAGTATTGGAATTTCAGGTGTGAACTGTCACATCCTATCATTATTTCTCTGTATTTCTACTGCCTTCTCAGTAAGTAATAATGATAAATTCCTTTTTTTAATAAAAGTCTTCCCTTTCCTTGAGAAATAGGATATGGAGCGGACTTAGAACTAAGAATATTAACTTAGAGTTGGGGTTTAGCTCTGTGGAGTCTCTGAGTGCAGCAAGATAGTTCCTGCTCCCTATATCTGGTTCTGGTTCTCAGGATGTCCTTTTTTTTTGGGGGGGGGGGGGGAGACTGCTGAACAATGAGACTATTCAGAAGAAATAACTTGGGCAAACAATAATTTTCTCAGCAGTGTATCCTGCTCGCTTTGATTGCCACCCACTTCCCCAGGAACTAAGGCAGAAGACAGAAGTTCTGGCACTCAGTAAAACTGTCTTGATGGCGTAAATTTAAGTTTGCTTTGAGTAAGTCTCATCAGAGGAGTTGCTGGAGAGAATTTTGTCATCTGAGTGCTGACCAGCAGATGGCACTGTTGTACCTCCCTGTGCCCTGAGACTTCATCCCAGGCAAACCAAAGTGTAAACACACTGCATTGCATTCCTGAGACCGGTCCCTTTGTACAAATAATCTCCTCTTGATCTAGGGAAGCAGAAGTTGACTCCTGAAGCATGATGAATTGGCAGCAAGGAGACCAACCAGTGCTATTGTTTTCCTGGTGGCCAACAATACAACATAACAACAGGTGTCACTGTCATCTCCTCTTTGTCATCCCTCCCAGTACATGTTCCTAAAAAAGGATGTTGTGACTCTCACGCCTTGAGCCCTCTCCATTGCATTCCTCTTTCCTTTTGTCTCTTCCTAAACAGCTTCTGATTGCCTTAGATTAAGAGCATCTTATGGCTGAGAATGACCGGCTGCACAAGTGTGAGGAACTGGATCCAGTTCCCCAACACCCACATAAAAGCCAGGTGTGGCTCTGTGCATCTCAGGAACAGGGGGACCCAGGACTTGCTGAGTAGCTAGCTAGCTCATCAAGGAGCTCTGGGTTCGGTGAGAAACCCCTTCTCAAAACACGAGGGGGAGAGCTACTGAGGTAGCTCTAATGCCTACCTTTGCCTCTACACTCTCAGGCAAACACTCTCTGTGTCTTTCTCTCTCTCAAACACACGAACATGCAAAGGGTTCTTACACATTGTTGCACAAAAATGTAAATATATACTTTGCTACAACTTAAAATATAATAGTAGCTAAACTCTGGGAAGAAAAAAAAAAGATTGGACTGAACTTGCCATACCATTGCCCTTTCTTTGTTCAAGCAGTCCCCCAAAATTCTACACACTCAGGAAGGCTTCTAAGATAGCCAAAACTATCAGTGTAGACATGCAGTTATTGGTCCACTCATCCCATTTCCCCTGTGTAGCTACATATTTATTAACATCGAGATCAGAAGCTGAGCTGTCAGCCTTTATGTATTAGACAAAACACCATCTCCCCAAAGATGAATATACCATGATCTTCATTCTCTACTTTAATCTTAGCATCTTCATTGTGTACTCTTCCCAGTTCCTGTGAACACCCTACTTCCTTTCTTCTACTCTTTGAAACAAAGGTGAGCAAGTTTTCAGTAATGGGGCCAAATAGAATTTCTGGCTTTACAGGTTATATGGACTGGACTCTGCAGCAATTATTTTATTGAACAGAGGAAACCACTACACAATATATAAATGAAAGAGCATAAATTTGTTCTAATAAAACTTTACTTACAAAACCAGGCTGTGGCAGGCCTTAACCACAGATGGTTCTTTGAGAAAAGATGCTTTTCTTCCAGCTTCTGTCTCAACAAATTTTCCCCTCTTTTTTATTTTGTTTTATTTGTTTGTTGTTTTGTTTTGTGTAACCCTAGTTGTCCTGCATGGAACTCAGTAGGTAAACTAGGCTGGCCTCAAACTCCCAGCACTAGGGAGGCAAAGGCAGGTGGATCTCTGTGAGCTCAAGGCCAGCCCTGGTCTACAAATTGAGGTGCAAGACAGCCAGGGCTACACAGAAAAAGCCTGTCTGAAAAAAACCAAAATCTTGTAGATTTCAATATAAATACAAGGAAGCTTTTTGCTTTTTTTCAAACAAATATAGTGGGAAGAGGGAAGAAGTGTGTGTGTGTGGTGTATGTGGGGGTGTGGTGTGTGCTCCTGTCTGTAAAACTGATCGTAAACCGGGTGTGGTGATGCACACCTGTGATCCCAGCACTCTGGAGACAGAGGCAGGCAGTTCTCTTGTGAGTTCGAGGCCAGCCTGTCCTACAAATCGAGTCCTGGCCACACAGAGAAACCTTGCCTCCCTTGAAAAACAAAAACAAAAAAACCCACCAAAAAAAAAAAAAAAAAAGAGAGAGAAAAGAAAAAACTGTTTCTAAGCTGACATTGGGCTAGTTGTTTGTGAAAGCATCTGTCCTCCTGCCTACGTATTTAGGACCATATATCCATCTGCCCATCTGCACCTAAAAGTGAGGCTAAGCAAATCAAAGCAGGACTTCAAGTACTTGCTCAGTCCTGGAGAGAACCTATTGTTTGTCTAGTTTTCCAACAATGGAGAGAGAGCAGTTCGTCTTGGACAGGCTTTTAGAACCTGTGGCTGTATTTATCAACAATGGAGAGATAGCAGCTTGTCATGGACAGATGTTTAGAAACTGTGGCTGTGTTTAGTGCCTGTTGCCTGGTTTGCATCACTAATCTCTGGAGGCACCTACTCTAACACTCACTGTGCCTGAGCCTTTGAAGGCGGAGAAGAACCAAAGAGAAGAGCAGATGCCTTATGGCAAAGACCGAATGTGAGGGTCTAAAAGCATTTTTGAATGATCCACTCTATCCTTTAAGGTGTTTTCCAAAGCCAAATGTAATTTTGAACAACACCAGCTTCTATTTTTCCTCCTCACCTAGACGCTGAGAAATGCCTGTGTAATGGACATACCCTTTCTTGCTGTTAAGGTCTCAATGGGGTAGGTAAATGTAGCTTGGGGGGGGGCTTAATCCCCGAAACCCCAAATAAAAAAATAATAAATAATGAATAAACAATCCTGATACTTTTCTTAAAAACAAATGTCCTATATGGTCTCTTATTTCTCTTTGCAGCAAACCAAGGTTGAAGGTGAAGGAAAGTGGGTGCTAACATGTGCTAGGAAGTGGGTAAAAGGGATTAATTTCAATTCCAAGAGGGGAAAGCCCTTAAAAATATGTAATTTATTCAGGGCCATAGAGTAATATATGAGGATGCTTTCTTTGCCTGCTTCCCCGTTTCTCTTCTGGTTAACCCTTGATTCTTCACTGTTTTCCTATTATCAGTGTTCCCTGTAGTATCTCTATGATATAAGGGCAGATGCCCACCTTGACCAGGATAAATAAACCCGTATAGGGACAGGGTCAATGTGACCTCCATTTTCTATTGTGAAACCTAAGCCGGCTTTGTTGGGTAATTGAGGGATGAGAAGCTCCCTATTAATATACACATGCACTTGCCAACCCTTGTACACAAAAGCTAAGAATGTGGCATGGGGGGGGGGCTGGATACCTGATAGCATGCATCTAGACGTGGAGGGTTCTGGAAACATCATTAGATTACTGGGAAGAAGATTGATTAGTAC